GGATCATCCACTGATTCGTTCTGCTTGTATGTCTGTGGGTATAAATGTATATTTCCATTTGAGCTTGCTATCCGGCAATCGGATGACAGCCATGCCGAGCGTGAGTCCGGTGAAGGCCAATCTGTGTGAATGAAAACCTCACCAGATGAACGGCTGGCCTGATCCTGCATGGTGACATCTGACTCATGGCGTCCATCACTCCAACCATTGAACATCACAGCCAGGGCGTGCTGCTTTGCCAACTTCTGAGCGAATGTGAGCGTCGGTTGATCCACACCTCTGCTGCTTGCTGCTCCTGATGATAGTACATCTCTCAGCGGTGTCCGCGTTCTGGCTGTCGATGCTGGTGATGAGAATAGAGGCTCAGGTCGAAGAGCGGGTCGTGCCGGAGATACTGCCTGTGGAAGTTCTGCATCTGGTATCTCTGGGCTGTCCATCTGATCCAATTGATAATATTCTGTCTCTCGTGTCACTGGAATCGTACTTGCTGTAGAGCCAACTTGCTCGGGAGATTCCGGTCTCAAATCAATCCATGATCCAGGAGGTCGTGTCGTCATCATTGGAGGTGCCGCTGATGAAGCTGTCGAGAAGGCTGTGACGTTGGCATAATGACGTGCCTTGCCTCCGAATCCTTTGCCTTGTCCTTTGCCTGTCTGCTGCTTACCTTGTCCATGCTGATTGTGCTGGGGCTGCCCATGACTTTGACCTTGCGCTGGACAAGACGATGCTGTATGCCATTTGCTTCCACAGATGGTGCAGCCTTCAGCTTTCTGACCATTTCCTCCGAAACGATCGTTGAGACTGCCGCCATGACCTTTACGGTTTCCAGAACTACCTTTGCCTTTGCCCTTGCTGAACTTCCGGCGGTAGCACTTGCCTTTGCTTTTGCCTTTGCGGCGGCCTCGACCTTTACCTTTGCCGTAGTAAGTCTCCCTTGATTCTTCGTCTCCGTCATGATATTCTGTCAGTTTGCCATCGCCGTCGTACTTGGCCCAGACATCTTCATATTCTTGAAAATACCATTCTCCATCATAGGTGGCCGTCCAGCCGTAGTCCTGATCATAGCCCCACTCGTGCATGTCGTCGTAGTAGGCCTCATACCAGTCGTCTTCGTCATCCTCATCTCCTTCATTGTACCAGGCCCACTCATGATGAGAGTTCACCTGGCCCTGCTTTCCGAGGCGCATCATGAGCTGCATCAGAGTACGATATTGATTCAAATCTCCTGCCACGTGAAGCTTTAGATCATCTAGCCTTTTGTCATGCAATCCGCAATTCTTGAGAAGAAAATGTGACTTGCCTACGTCGTTCATGACCAGGCCTCTTTCTTCGCACGCATTCTCGTAGGCCAACTCGAAAGATGCAATCCATGTTGGAATGTCAGTGTGTGCTCCGCGTCGGCAATCGAAGAAACCGTCCAAAACAACTCCAACTCTATCTTGATCGTGTAGCTCATAGATCGCCTTCTGCTGATTCAGAAAGATCTTGATGCCCGGCAGCTGTGCCTCAATGCCTGCTGCAGGGTCCTCTGGTACAGGAGGACGTGCCACCGCTTCGTCGCCTCGATAGTGAATGCCATCCCTGATGATAGTGAACGACATAGCTGCGGTGAAAGGGGTCCCCTGCAATCTGCTGCTGACTATGAGGGGCTCGATTCTCACGTAGGAGTTCTCGCCTGTAATCCTCCACCACAGCTTGAGCTTCTGCTGGTATCGCCGAAATGTATATCCTTTGATGTGGGGCCGCCATCCTGGCGGCACGTTCTTTGTGAACTCTTCCAGGTTGAGGTTGCCATGCTGGCTGCTGTTCTGCTGCTGGTGCGCCATGGCGGCGCTTATAATATACAGGTGAAAAAAGAAAATGGAGTTCATGGAGAACTTCCAGTCCGTGAAGATCTGATGGCGTGATCGCCTTGATGTAGTTGATGAACTCGGGGCTCCTGATGCACTCTGTCTCGTGCTGAAGCCCCTCGGCTGTGAAGTCGTTGTCCGTCGGCTGGAGGTAGCCGAACACGTAGTTGCCTGCGGAGGCGCGAGCGCACCGATGGGCGCGCGAGGGTGGCTGGCCGACCGGGGGCCCGCAGAGCGATGAATCGCTCCGCTACCAAAGCGAGCTTTTGGTAACCTTGAACCGCAATATGTTTACGTCGATCCGACTATAAAAAACTCAGCAGCTTGATAGAGCTTGCGTCCAGCGTGGCGACTAAAAGAAGCCTTTGAAGATCTCTGAAGAGGCTCAGCATCCTCCCAATGATACAGCTGTACTGGGGTAATAAACTCACTGAGGAGGAGGAGGAGGAGGAGGAGGAGGAGGGAGGAGGAGGAGGAGGAGGAGGAGGAGGAGGAGGAGGAGGAGGAGGAGGAGGAGGAGGAGGAGGAGGAGGAGGAGGTGATGGAGGTGATGGAGGAGGAGGAGGAGGAGGAGGAGGAGGAGGAGGAGGAGGAGGAGGAGGAGGAGGAGGAGGAGGAGGAGGAGGAGGAGGAGGAGGAGGAGGGGGAGGAGGGGGAGGAGGAGGAGAGGAGGAGGAGGAGGAGGGGAGGAGGAGGAGGAGGGAGGAGGAGGAAGAGGAGGAGGGAGAGCAGCAGGAGGAGGAGGAGGAGGAGAGGAGGAGGAGGAGGGAGGACGGAGGGGAGGGAGGGAGGGAGGGAGGGAGGGAGGGAGAGGAGGAGGAGCAGGAGGAGGAGGAGGAGGAAGAGGAGGAGGAGCAGGAGGAGGAGGAGGAGGAGGAGGAGGAGGAGGAGGAGGAGGAGGAGGAGAGGAGGAGGAGGAGGAGGAGGAGGAGGAGGAGGAGGATGAGGATGAGGATGAGGATGAGGAGGGAGGGAGGGAGGGAGGGAGGGAGGGAGGAGGAGGGAGGGAGGGAGGGAGGGGGAGGGAGGGAGGGGAGGGAGGGAGGAGGAGGAGGAGGAGGAGGAGGAGGAGGAGGAGGAGGGAGGAGGAGGAGGAGGAGGAGGAGGAGGAGGAGGAGGAGGAGCAGGAGCAGGAGGAGGAGGAGGAGGAGGAGGAGGAGGAGGAGGAGGAGGAGGAGGAGGCAGCGAGCGCGATGGGGCAGGACCGTGCGACGCGGGCCCACGCTGGGGACCTGCACAGCCCCCGAGCGCTGCGAACGTCAGGCGCACCACCTCCTCCTCTCCTCCTCCTCCTGGTCCTCGCCCTCCTCCTTCTTCGTCTCCTGTTGCTCCTCCTCCTCACCTCCTCCTCTTCCTCCGCGTGCGCCTCTTCCTCCGCCTTGTGCTGCTTTCGCTCCCGTGCTCTGGCGTAGTCCTGCTTCCTCTGCTTCCCGCGCCGAGCCGAGCCCCTCCTGCCCCCCGCCGCGCCCCCGTGCACCGGGCCTCTCGGCCACTTGCCACTCGCCTCTTTCGCTTTCTCCTCGTGCGCCTGCCGCGTGTCCTCTTCCTCCCCAATGGGCAACATAAGGAGAGGATGGGCTCAGGGGTGGATGCATCGGCTTCCAGTCGCCCACTGATCGCCGACTGGGGCCCGATGGGCCCGCCCTGCCCTGGAGCGTGCGGTTTTGCTATCGGGGGCCTGTCGTCGATCAATCGGCGAGGTAGCGCCGATTCCAGGTCGATGTTTCCCCTCCCGCCCCTCCCCCTGAGCCAGTCCCCCCCTGAGGTTAAGCCCTCCCGTGAGCTTGTGTCTCCCGCCCATCGGCAACATACTCCAGAGGCCACGGCCTCGCCCACGGGATCTTTCTGGCAGGCCAGGACGACGCTTTGCAGAGGTGGTATTCTTCTTCTTCTTCTTCCTCGGCTTCCTCCTCCGCCTCTGTCGGCCTCCTCTTTTTTCGTCCGCCGCCTCCGCCTCCGCTCCCTCCTCTTCCCCCTCCTCCCCCTCGTCCCCCTCCTGCTCCTGTTCCTGCTCCTCTTCCCCATCTGGGCCTGCTGTTGGGCCGAGGAGCTTCAGTTTTTTTGTTGCGTCCCGGGCCCCCCGAGAGGATCTGGGCGGCGGTCCCCTGGGGCCTCTCCCGGAAGGGGCGAGCCCATTCGAGGCCCTTTTGCCAGGGTTGAGGCCGGCTGGGGGACCGAGGTGGCCTAGCACCAGTTCTGGCCAGCTGACGGGGGGAAAAAGAGGCCCCCATCGTCCCCACTGCATTGTGGAGTAGTTGTTCAGGCCGCGGTTCGTAGCAAGAGTTTGCCCATTGCAGGTCGGCTTGTGCGGTGTTCCCTGTTTGCCTTGCGACCTTTTGCTTCGCGATGTTGTTGTGGCACCCGTGGGTTTTGTTCGAAGAGAAACAAGGGGTTCCCTCGTCCCCGGGAGGGGTGTTGGGACCGATCTGGAGCAGCTTTGCCCCCGTCTCCCCTCTTGGTGGTTTTGAGTGGCTTTGAAATCCCGTCTCCTCTAGGATATGGCGTTCCGTCCAGGGAGTGTCGACTCCCTGGTGTTAGGGGAGGAAAACCACCCCGACCCCGACATTTGGCGTTTACCAAACGGCCGTGGGCGTCATCTAAACAGCCCTGTCCTGTTCGAGCCCTTCCTTGGGTGAGTCTACAAAATGGCTTCGCTTGTCGGGGTGGATGTTCTGCCCTCTGTGGTGGTGCCCCCCCTTGGCATTGCCTGGGCGGACCCTTCTGCCCTCGAAGATTTTCTGAGAGAGTGCGCAGTTCAAGACGCCGTCTGGTGAGTGCAGACGCGCTTCGGGGGCACCGGGCCCTCGTGTCAGGCGAGGGCCCAAGCTGCTGTCGCGCGGGGCCAATACAGGACAGCTGGGGGGGAAGCACCGGATATGGCGCATACGCAGTCGACCCCTGCAGACCCCAGAGGGGATGGCGCACGGGTCACGGGTCGTGGTCGTGTCGCGTATCGCTCTGCTCGTCGGCGTGGTCCAGGTCGTGGTCGGCGACGCCGTCACTGGTCTTGGTGCGCGCTGCTCTGCTCATGACCTGTGGCCCTTCTGCAGTGGCCACCCCACCGCCAGCCCCAGGGGGTGGCGCACGGGCGGGAGGAGGAGGAGGAGGAGGAGGAGGAGGAGGAGGAGGAGGAGGAGGGCCTGCGTGAAGGTCGTGACTCTGCTGAAGGACATGCTCAAGCAGTTGGAGAAAGAGGCTTCGGAGGAGAGCACTCCGAGCATTCCCCCATGAGCCGAAATTGCCCTACAGGCTTGTGGGAGTCGATCAGTGGAGAGGAAACATGCTGCCAAATCATTTCCAGATGCTTAATACATGCTGTTCCAAATATGTTAAAAAACATGGTTGAAACATTTTCAGAACATGTTTTACACATTTTAAGCACATCTTGAATTCAATGATCGGACTGTTAGAGTGTCCATTGTCATGGCATCCACAACTATAGGCACGAAGTATTTCCCTTTCGTCATCCTCTTCCTCTCCAGGGGCCCCCAGGCGGTGTGGTGTCCACACCGTGCGGTGAGTCATTCGGGATTCGGGGTCACCGCACGGTTCTGGGACTCGTGTGCCGCTCTCCGAGGCTCCAAAACCGTGCGGTGACGGACCGTGCGGTGAGGTCTTCGGGGATTTCGAGGTCACCGCACGGTCCGTCACCGCATTGTTTGGGGACCCCCGATCTTTCTCCGCTTCTACACTTGGCTGCATCGTACGTAAGCGCAGACGTCACCATCATTCTGGTCCCATCGAAGGAGAACATCAGCATAAACTTACACTTTTGCATCTCCGCGCGAATTCCTTGGATTGCCGCGGGGCTCCCCTGGCGGCACTTCCGGCGCCTTCCTGGGGTCTAGCGCAGATCTCAGAACTCCGCACGGACTTCCGACAGTTTCTGCTTATGCATTTTTTTTTGGTTTCCTCTAGTCCCAGGGATTGGAGCACCCTTTGCCATGGCCATGCGCGGCCTCTGTACATCCATCTTTCGACAAGTAGGTGTTTTTCGAATAATGCATGAACCACATCCGTCGACCAGCGATGGAGAAGGCGATGCACCAAGTGGATTGTTCAAGGTTGTGAGTTGTTGACGCGTGCGTGTCTCTTTCAGCCCAGTCAAAAACTCATCCCAGGCGACTTGTCGTGAGATGGGAGAAGCGGGGGACAGTAAAACACAGGTGTGTGTGTGTGTGTGTGTGTATGGGGATAGCATCGGTTTGGAGGTTCATTTTAAGCGTCACTGCAGTGTTTTCGCCGGGCTCTGCAAGGCCACTGCAGGATCTCTGCAGGGCCGCCCTGCAGGGTGCGCCGAAGGAGTGGCGGGGCAAAGGGCCCCAAGGGGGGGTCGTGCGAGGGACTGAAGCAATGGCTCTTGACGAGCGCGGGGGTGAAAAAAAACCTGGGGGTGAAAAAGACCCCGGGTTCGGGGGTGAAAAGAAAACCCAGGTTTTTTCACCCCCGGGTTTTTTCACCCCCGGTTTTTTTTCACCTCCGAGGCCTCTCAAGATGGCCCAAGAGGCCTTCAAGAGGGCTCCAGGACGGGGTCTGAGACTGAGACAAGGAATGCGATCCGCCCAAGAGCGCAAATTATTCTGGGCCCTGGGACCCTTGACGAGGTCGCACCATATTCAATTCAGGGAACTCAAACGAACTGAGGAGACTCCACTCAGTGCCTACGACGCAGTGGTGGATGCATGCATGTGTAAAACTGGAAATATAATACTTGGGCATGCTCGGTGTCTGCTCTCTCTCTTTTGCCTCCTGCCATCTCTTTCTTGTCTACTGCCCTGTCAGTCTCTCCCAGCGCGCCTCTGGTATCCACAGCCTACGTCTGAGGACGAGGACATATACGACAAACTGGCATGCTGGTGCGAGACCAACGACAGAGAGAAGACCAAGGCTGGTTTCTGTCTCTCGGTTTGTATCTCCTCGCGACGATCCCCTTGTGCCCTCTCTGGCATCCCCTTGAACGGCTTCTTCGCTTCCTCCTTACAGTCAATCTGTTGAAATGATGACCACTTTGGATTTAGGAGGGGCTGGGGCTTTCTGGCCGTTCCTTAGGGCCAGGTTTTGGGGCCTTTTTTTGCCGCCGAGGCTCGCCGTGGCCAGAAAAGCCCCTTCGTTCTCTGCTCAGCGTTGCTCATGATGGCACGATGGCTGTAGATTTCCCTCATCCTAGGGAGGCGGCAGCCCACGTGTAAGGCAGGTCTGGCTTAGGGGCCAGGGATCGGACATGGTAACTTCCAAGATATCGGCTGGCGCATGTATTTCTTGCGCCTCTTGTAGCCCTTCCCTCGGCGTGCCAGAGGCCATCAAGGATGCCGAGTCCCGCATCGCGCAGCTCCAGGTTCAGATCGAGGAGGAAGCGACCTTGTTGCGCGCGGTACAGGAGTAGGCTAAGCAGCAGCGCAGGATCAGCATGAACAGGATGCTGTCTTTGGCTTTGAGCCGCTTTGGACACATGCTATCCTGTTAGGGCAGTCTTGCAGCGGTCTTGGGGTGTATTCCGACCGTGTTGGGGCCCTTCGGCAGCCAGCTTGAGGCTCTCAGGGTCGGGGGTGGCGTCGAACAATCCTGGGCGAGAAAGAGTGGTGAGCCGAACGCGTTCAGAAGTGTGAATACGACACCTAAGCGTTTCAGTGCGTTTGCCTCTCGAGTGCCAGTCGGGAGTACACTGGGTCCCCACAGATTTTTTGTTGGGGGGGTTGGGTTCGTCTGGCGCATCTTGCGCGTGCCGTGGCCGCTTTGGAGATTTTGCAGCCGCTTGGGCGGGGAACTGCCTTAGGCTTCCTTGTATTTCCGTCTCGTCGTTGTCCTCTTAGCCATCATCGTCATCATCATCATCATCATCATCATCATCATCATCATCACCATCATCACCATCACCATCACCATCACCATCACCATCACCATCACCATCACCATCACCATCACCATCACCATCACCATCACCATCACCATCACCATCACCATCACCATCACCGTCACCGTCACCGTCACCGTCACCATCACCATCACCATTACCATCACTATCACCACCACTATCACCATCACCACCACCATCACCATCACCATCAGCATCACCCTCACCATCACCATCACCATACTCATCAGCATCATCATCAGCAGCATCAGCAGCAGCATCAGCATCATCACCAGCATCAGCAGCGTCAACATCATCATCAGCATCACCAAGTGCATTATCGTCACCACCACCACCATCCTCGTCACCACGAACACCATCATCATCAGCATCGTCATCACCACCACCACCACCCTCTCCATCAGTATCAGCATCATCCTCATCATCATCGTCACCAGCACCATCATCACCATCACCATCACCATCACCATCACCCTGATCATCATCACCATCATCAACACCATCATCATCATCACCAACATCGCCATCCACATCATCATCAATCTCATCGCCACCACCACCATCATCATTTCCATCATCACCATCATCATCACCATCACCATCGCCAGCAGGACCATCACTACCGTCATCATCATCATCATCATCATCATCACCCTCATCATCATCATTATCATAGTTTTAATATAATTCCCCACATCCAAAGTGGGGTTCTTGTTTTCTCTGCACACCCCCCGCGCAGGATCTCACACCCTCTCTCTCTCTCTCTTCCTCTTTCTCGCATCATCATCATCATCAGTCATCATCATCATGACCCACGCCTCTCCTCCTCAGCACCATCACACTTACCCATACACCACTCGATCGCTCACTCACTCACTCACTCACTCACTCATCATGATCATCACATGAGGATATCATCCGTTGGCGTCACACATCACTCAGTCAGTCCGTCACTCACTCGAGTATCAAGCGGGAGCGTCGTCTGTGAGTGAATTGCGAGGAAGTCTCAGGCGGGAGCCTCTCCCTATGGGGCCCGCAGATCATCTTACTAATCCGAGGCGGGTCATCGGGATCCTGTAACTGTCGTCACTTTTGGGCTCCTGGGGCGTGAATTTGGAGGAAGTATCAGGCGGGAGCGTCGTCTGTGAGTGAATTGCGAGGAAGTCTCAGGCGGGAGCCTCTCCCTATGGGGCCCGCAGATCATCTTACTAATCCGAGGCGGGTCATCGGGATCCTGTAACTGTCGTCACTTTTGGGCTCCTGGGGCGTGAATCTGGAGGAAGTATCTAGCGGGAGCCTCGTCTGTGAGTGAATTGCGAGGAAGTCTCAGGCGGGAGCTTCTCCCTATGGGGCCCGCAGATCATCTTACTAATCCGAGGCGGGTCATCGGGATCCTGTAACTGTTGTGACTTTTGGGCTCCCGGGGCGTGAATTTGGAGGAAGTATCAGGCGGGAGCGTCGTCTGTGAGTGAATTGCGAGGAAGTCTCAGGCGGGAGCCTCTCCCTATGTGAGTGAAGGCTAAGTCTCAGGCGGGAGCCTCTCCCTATGGGGCCCGCAGATCATCTTACTAATCCGAGGCGGGTCATTGGGATCCTGTAACTGTCGTCACTTTTGGGCTCCTGGGGCGTGAATTTGGAGGAAGTATCAGGCGGGAGCGTTGTCTGTGAGTGAATTGCGAGGAAGTCTCAGGCGGGAGCCTCTCTCTATGGGGCCCGCAGATCATCTTACCAATCCGAGGCGGGTCATCGGAAACCTGTAACTGTCGTCGCTTTTGGGCTCCTGAGGCCTGAATATGGGAGAAGTATCAGGCGGGCGCTCCATCCCTGTGGGGCACGCACTTCATGTTCGAACCCGAGCGGGTCATCCGAGCGAGCTTTTTGGGCTCCTCAGTTCCTGCGGCCTGAACAAGGGGGAAGTATCAAGCGGGAACTTTGTCTGTGGGCGGTGCGGGTAGTCCCGTCTGAGGACCGTCTCTTGTCGTCACTTGGAGGATCGAAGGGGAACTCGCTCCTGCGGCCTGAATATTCTCTTTCGACTTGCCCACGTCCAATTGCTGGCCAACCTTGTCGTCGTCGGCGGGAGAGGGAACTTGAAAAGGTTCACTCTCCCGCGTTCGTTTGGGCTGGGGAGGGAACTTGAAAAGGTTCACTCTCTAGCTGCGGGAGAGGGAACTTGAAAAGGTTCACTTTCCCGTTCGTGGCAGGATTGGGCTGGAGAGGGAACTTGAAAAGGTTCGACGTCTCTAGCTGCGGGGGAGGGAACTTGCAAAGGTTCCCTGTCCCCCCTTGTCGTCGGAGTGAAGGGGGAACTTGAAAAGGTTCACCCTTCATTCGCGGGAAAGGGAACTTGAAAAGGTTCACTTTCCCCTAGAGAGGGAACTTGCAAAGGTTCACTCTCCAGCAGCGGGAAAGGGAACTTGCAAAGGTTCACTTCCCCGCGCGTTCCAACCGGAGAGGGAACTTGAAAAGGTTCCCTCTCCAGCAGCGGGAAAGGGAACTTGCAAAGGTTCACTTTCCCGCGCGTTCCAACTGGAGAGGGAACTTTCCCCTCCAGTTTTTTTCTGACCCCCCCTTTTCCTAACGCCGATGTTTCAATGGACTAAGGGGTCACTAACGCAATTTTTTTCTCGGGCGTCGGGGGAGGAATCGCGTTGGCCGGAAACGGAGCTGAGCCTGGCGCGGGCGCTCGATGGAAAACCCTCACGAAACGCTTTGAAATCGATGATTGCGGATGACGAGCAGCACATTTTGCAATTTCCCCATAGGGGGATGGAACGCAATGTACGTTTTTCTTTGGCATGCGTCACGAAAACGGCCCCTCGAGAACGAAAACGACGCAACGCCCTATTTTCATTATGAAACAATTAGCATTTGAGAGAGTTTTTCATAGATGCACGTGCCCGGGGGTCCTGGAGGAGGAGGAGGAGGAGGAGGAGGGGCAGGAGGAGGAGGAGGAGGAGGAGGAGGAGGAGGAGGAGGAGCAGGAGGAGGAGCAGGAGGAGGAGGAGGAGGAGGAGGAGGAGGAGAGGAGGAGGAGGAGGAGGAGGAGGAGGAGGATAGGAGGAGGAGGAGGAGGAGGAGGAGGAGGAGGAGGAGGCGAGGCAGCAGAGAGGGGGAGGAGGGGGAGGAGGGGGAGGGGGCCAGCGCCAGACCGAGTCGTGAGGAGGGGTCGGAGGAGGAGGAGGAGGAGGAAGAGGAGGAGGAGGAGGAGGAGGAGGAGGAGGAGGAGGAGGAGGAGGAGGCGGAGGAGGAGGAGGAGGAGGGGCAGGAGGAGGAGGAGGAGGAGGAGGAGGAGGAAGAGGAGGGGCAGCAACGTCAACATCGGCGATGTCGGGCGGACGTTGCTAGGGGCTAAGCGTGCGAAGGTCCTCTCCTCAGGCCGGGCGAATGTGTGCGACAGGGAAGGGAGGGGGGTACGAAAACTGATGCATTCAGAGAAGGGGTAGACAAGGGAGGAAGGTACAAGGAGGATAGGAGGCAGCAGGAGGAGGAGGAGGACGCCGAGGCGGGCGAGGGCGTGGAGCACCCGGGCGCGCCTCCCAAGCGTGTCGGAGCACACTTCCAGCCGGTCCCGACGTGGGGCATCGACGGGGGGCAGGACATGGCGGGCGTGCTGAACTTCGCGCACCGTAAGCGCCTCACGAGGTTGGCCAAGGAGCTCCTCGCGCTCCCGTGCATGTCCGAGGCGGCCCGCGAGGGCGCGGGTGCGCCCGAGCCGACGGAGGCCGCGACTGCTCCCGCGCCCGCGGCCGGGTACCGACCGCTGGTGACCGCGGCGCGCGAGGAGAGACACGCCTGGGGAAACCTGCACGACGAACGCCTCCAGGACAATCGCGACGAGGAAGATGCAGGCGCTCCGGACGGCGAGGACGCGGGCGCAGGCGGCCTGGGCGGCGACCCCGCTGCGGCCAGTTTTGCCAGCAGCGTGTACTCAACGCCCAGCGCGTACATCGCCGCCCTGGTCGCTGGGTTGCCGGAGAACGAGAGACTCACGCGGGACCAGACGCTCTTCGTCGCCAAGTTCGCCAAGGCCTGCGACGACGCCTGGGAGGACGACGCGCAGAAGAAGCCCTGGAGCGAGAGAAAAGTGACGCACTTGCTCCTGTTGGGCCAGGGCGGCTCGGGGAAGACGCACGTGGTGCAGAAGATCGTCTTCCCAGTGGTGGAGTATTTGTGGCCCTCGTCGGCGCAGGACAAGGGCGCCATGATGGTCGTGGCCTTCTCGAACGCGCAGGCGAAGAACATCTCCACGGAGACGGTGAAGGCCAGAACGCTGCACAACGCCTGTGCCCTGCGAGTCCAGAAGTACATCAACGCGAAGATGAGACCGGGGAGCATGCAGAAGAGATTGCAGTGGTTGTGGGAGCACGTCCGCGTCCTGGTCATCGAGGAGGTGAGCATGGTGGCAGCTGCTCTGTACAACGCTCTGGACCTCCGCGCCTGCCACGGGCGCAGTGACACGCACGACGTGCAGGAGTCCACCTACAAGAGGCCGCACCACCACTTCGGCCGCGTCCCCATCGTGTTGCACCTCGGGGATTTCCTGCAGCTGAAGCCCACCGGCAGCATCGGGCTCCTGACGGACGTGAACGAGCTCCTGGACGACGGGTCGTACAAGTACGCGGAGCCGCCGACGGTGGAGATCCAGCACGCCATCAGGGTATTCTCTCAGATCCCCTGCGTCTTCGAGCTGAAGGGCACGAAGCGCTTCGAGCCGGGGGGCCCTCTGATCGCGTTCTTGGGCTGCATGCGCGAGGGCAAGCGCTTCCCACCAGAGGTCTGGTCTGCCTGGGAGAAGACGTTGGCCTCTGACAACCACGGCGTCCTGGACCCTCGGCACCAGCACGAGAACTTTCGGCTCGGCTACGGCATGGGCATCTACTGGGAGACGCTGGCGAGGTGGATCAACACGCGCGCTCGTCGCGACGCGCGGCGCCTCGGCGCCCCCCTCGTTTTCCTGCAGGCCGTAGACGAGTGCGGCACGATTCAAGGCGAACCAGACGCAGGCCGGCGCCTCCTGAACGTCCCGAACATGCACAAGACGGGGGACATCCACGGCGTCTTACCGGCACACGTCGGCATGGAGGTCCGGTTCACGGCCGTGCAGGAGGAGCTGAAGAAGAAGTTGGGGCTCGTGCAGGAGCAACGGGCCACCATCGTGTCCTTCGAGTTTCACGCAGACGACGAGCGGGACTACGAGGAGTGCGCGCCGGGCCAGCTCTTCCGCCCCCGCTTCCTACCGCAGGGAATCTGGCTGCATGTGCACGGCTTCCAGGAGTCCCCGATCTACAAGGAGGTCGCCGAGGTGCTGCTGCAGGGCACCGAGGGCGCTGACGACGACGGCGAGGCCCAGGCGCGGGCGAGGAGCTTGCTCATGTTCAGGCCCAGCGAGCAGGAGTTCACGTGGCAGAGCTCGGGGGCGCACACTGTGCGCCGCTCGGGATTCACGCTGACGCACGCGTCCTACCTGACCTCCACGCTGTCGCAGGGCCAGACGCTGCGCAAGGGCGTCACCATCGACTGCGCCAGGGATGAGGACGCTGGCCGCACGGGCATGTCGGACGATATGTGGTGGCTGCACCTCTACGTCATGTTCTCCCGCGCCACGTGCATGCGGAACATGCTGATCCTGCGGCCGCCCGCGCGAGAGTTCCTGGAGCGCGGGCCGCCGGCGTCGCTGCGGAAGGCGCTCCAGGAGTTCGACGAGAGAGCGGTGGACTCCAGGGCTGAAGCGGAGCAGCTCGCGGCAGAGCTGGGCTTCGTGCTGCCGCCCGCCTGAGCGCCGCGGCGCGCGCGAGGAGGCCCGCGGGGTTGTCCCAACGGCCTGGCCCGCGGGGTTGTCCCGACGGCCTGCCCTCGCGCTCCGGCGGCCCGCGGGAGTGCCCCGCAGGCATGGCTGGCCCGAAGGGTTGACCCGACGGCTTCGCGATCTGGCCGTCGGCAAACGCGCGCGTTCTGACCGAGGCGGCGACGGCGCCGAGGAAAATCGACTTGCTTCCCCCGACCGGGGGGAAAGGGACGTGCGCGTGGAAAAGAGGCAGGAGGAGGATGAGGACGGAAGGGGTATGGGGAGGGCGATGATGAGGAGGAGGTGGAGAAGGAGGAGGAGGAGGAGGAGGGGGAGGAGAAGGAGGGGGGGGGAAATAGAAGAAGAGGAACAGATGGCAGAGGAGAGGGCGATACGAGGGTGTTTGCCATGGCCGGGAGGAAAGGGATAAGGGAAAGCTAAACGGATTATCATGTGGGGTCCTTCCGTCGGAGTAATTTTCATTGGTTTCGATTATAATGCATACTATTGTTATTACTGTTATCATTGTTCTCCTTCTTCTCCTTCTTATTTCCCACATCCAAAATGGGGTTCTTGTTTTCTCTGGACACCCCGCGCAGGAACAGGAACCCACCATCATCATCAGCACTCACATATGATGATGATGATGAGTGTGCGCGTGAGAGAGTGTGATGATCATCATCATCACCAGTCAGTCAGTCAGTCACTCACTCACTCACTCGCCTTGGGCCTCGTCTGTGAGTGAATTGCGAGGAAGTCTCAAGCAGGAACCCCCTCCCTATGGGGCCCGCGGATCATGTTACTAATCCGAGCGGGTCATCCAATTCCTGTAACTGTCGCCACTTTTGGGCTCTCGCGCTGCCAGAACGCCATTCCCAGGCCACATCTGTGAGAGAATTGCGAGGAAGTCTCAAGCGGGAGCCCCCTCCCTATGGGGCCCGCGGATCATGTTATTAATCCGAGCGGGTCATCCAATTCCTTTAACTGTCGCCACTTTTGGGCTCTCGCGCTGCCAGAACGCCATTCCCAGGCCACATCTGTGAGTGAATTGTGAGGAGGTCTCAAGCGGGAACCCCCTCCCTATGGGGCCCGCGGATCATGTTACTAATCCGAGCATGTCATCCAATTCCTGTAACTGTCGCCATTTTTGGGCTCTCGCGCTGCCAGAACGCTATTCCCAGGCCACATTTTGAATGCCCGGAGCCAACTGTAGGCCACTTCGTGTTCTTCGTGCTCCCAGAACACCATTCCCGGGCCACATTGTGAATGCCCGGAGCCAACTGTAGGCCAATTCGTGTTCTTCGTGTTCCCAGAACACCACTCCCGGGCCACTTTCTGAATGTCCGGAGCCAAAACAGGAGGGCGAGGTCGGGGGCAACGTAGGGAGCGGGGGGAGGGCCCGCGCCAGGGCGAGAAGAAATATACGCAGAAGAAACAGCCAGGACGCCTCACCAACCACGAGGACGACGGTGAGGGTTTTTTCCAGATTCGCCCAGAGGATTCTCATGTGGGGTCCTTCCGTCGGAGTAATTATGTTGTTTTCTTTTGTATTCTTATTATTATCATTTGTCTTTTCTTTTGTGTTCTTACGATCATCATAGTCATTACCATCATTCTGTTACTTATCATGACTGACAGGGCTCTCAATCTTATTACTACGACCAATATTATTATCATTCTCAGTATATCTAGTCTTTATTCTGGTTACTAGTGTCATCGCCATTACTACTATTAGTACCACTACTACTACTACTACTACTGCTACTACTAGTACTATTTCTTCTACTAGTACTACTGCTACTACTATTATTGTCACTACTACTACTACTACTACTACTACTACTACTACTACTACTACTACTACTACTACTACTACTACCACTCCTACTACTCCTACTACTCCTACTCCTCCTCCTCCTTCTACTACAACTACAACAGCTACTACTACTACTACCACTACCACTACCACTACTACTACTACTACTACTACTATTATTATTAGTAGTATTAGTAGTACTAGTAGTACTAGTACTAGTACCAGTACTACTACTACTACTACTACTACTACTACTACTACTACTACTACTACCTACTACTACTACTACTACTACTACTACTACTACTACTACTACTACTACTACTAATACTACTACTACTACTACTACTACCACTACCACTACCACTACCACCACCACCACCACCACGACCACCATCATCATCATCATCATCATCATCATCATCATCATCATCATCATCATCATCATTGTCGTCGCCGTGCGTCCTACCTCATGTGGGTGGCTTGAATCGTTCAGTGCATTCCAGTGCTACTCAACGGGCCTTCTAGGCTGGCTGGCCTGCTAGGAGGCTGCGAGTATCCGCTGCATCCGCCATGCGCTCATTCCCTCCCACCCCCAAAGGACACTGCCATCAGTTCGCGCCTCAACACCGAGATCAAGAACACGGAAGAGGAGGTCGCGAAGAACCAGGAGGCACACCCTCTACCTCTTTCAACGAGTCGCCGCGAGGGTGACACCTGCCCTTGCCTCTCGGAACTCGGGACACTTTGGATGGAGCGGAGGGGGGTGTCTTCGGACTGCAGTATGCGGGGGCCGCCCTCATGGTGACCGCGGGCCTTCGGTGCCCTCGCCTCTCGACCCTAGCAGGGCAACCCGATAGAAGCATTCAACCTCTCGCTGGTGAGGGGTGGGGTGGCATGTGCACCCTCTCTTGTCCAGCCAAGGGGCCACAACGGAGAAACCGAAAACCCCCGCGTGCGCTAATTCGTGACGTAATGTGTGCAAGCGGCCTCTTTCGAAGCAGAATAACACGGCATAACCAAATTTTTGCTGGACCTCCGCGCGGATTTCTTTCCGCCCCCCCTGGCGCGCTCCGCGCGCCGGGGAGGGGGTCCAGCGCCGATCCAAGAATTCCGAGCGGAGCTCCGAAAGTTTGCACATGACCTTGAGAGTGCGGGGCGCCCACTGTTTCCTTGATTCCAGTACTCAGTCATCTGGCTGCTGTGCATCTGGCTGCTGTGCATCTGGCTGCTGTGCATCTGACTGCTGTGCATCTGGCGCGAAGCCTCTCGGACCGGACCTTCTCGGGACCATCTCGGAGGCCGTCGACAGAAGAAACGGGTGCTTAGTTTGCGTCGCTCATTTCGAGCTCGAAGCAAGATGTTTTGAGGTCGTCTCGGAGCTTTCTCGGGACGCTCTCGGGGTGCCAGGGGGCCATCTTCGGGCCGTTCTGGGCCCCTCTTTGGGGCCTTATCAGGCTCTCCTGGGCCATCTTGGGGATATCTAGAAGCTTCCAATGCCCATCAGGCACAAGACGCGAGAAAGCGAATGTACCTTGACAGTTCGCAGTGCTTTGACGGTTTTGGCTTTTCGGGGTGATCCCTCGGAGGCTTGGGGCCGTCTTAGGGCCATCTTGGGGCCTCGTCGGAGGCATGCTGAATACCATCTCAGGCCACACTGGGCCAACTTGCGGGATCTCGGAGGTCATCGGGGGATGCTTCAACTCGTCGTGGAGGGGTGCCGGGACGGGGTACGGCGGGTCGGTGTCGTGACGACGCGGCTGCGATCCCAGCGCGGGCGTTCAAGGTTGAACGCCGCCAGTGGCCCAGAATCGGCCAAGCTGGAGCGAAGTGGCGATCGCACAGGCGCCGATCGTTTAAGGTTGAACGCTGGGATTTTCACGCTGGGATGTTCACGACACGAAGCTGCAGCATGTGGGGGGGGCCAAGTTCCTTACAGGAAGCCACGGGCTATCTCGCTCAGTTCCACCCGCCCTTTTAACGCCTGGGCTTAAGTCGGGCCTGTCCCTCTACAGGGGGAAAATACAAAAATAGTTAAACAATAGTCTGGGGACGATTTTTCATTTTTTTGGACCATTTCAGAACATTTTTTGGAGTATTGGAGAGGCCTGACGGCCGGTGCCGCCGACCCTGATCGAAAGGGCTAGGAGTGGGGGGAGGAAGAGGAGGAGGAGGAGGAGGAGGAGGAGGAGAGGGGAGGAGGAGGAGGAGGAGGAGGAGGAGGAGGAGGAGGAGGAGGAGGAGGATGGAGGAGGAGGAGGAGGGAGGAGGAGGAGGGAGAGGAGGCGGAGAGAGAGGAGGAGGAGGAGGAGGAGGAGGAGGAGGAGGAGGAGGAGGAGGAGGAGGAGGAGGAGGAGGAGGAGGAGGAGGAGGAGGAGGAGGAGGAGGAGGAGGAGGAGGAGGAGGAGGGAGGATGGAGGAGGAGGAGGAGGAGGAGGAGGAGGAGGAGGAGGAGGAGGAGGAGGTGGAGGAGGATGGAGGAGGAGGAGGAGGAGGTGGAGGGAGAGGAGGAGGAGGAGGAGGAAGAGGAGGAGGAGGAGGAGGAGATGGAGGAGGAGGAGGAGGAGGAGGAGGAGGAGGAGGAGGAGGAGGAGGAGGGGGAGGAGGAGGAGGAGGAGGAGGAGGAGGAGGAGGAGGAGGAGGAGGAGGAGGAGGAGGAAGTGAATCCTTTGTTTGCCCGCTCGAAGAAAGTGCGCCCTGGAGTGTGATATTCTGACTTGGGACGTGCTCCCGGAAGAGGAAGAAGTGCATCTCGGGCGTGCCCGCTCGAGAAAAATGCGCCCTAGGGGGGGTGGTATTTTGACTCGGGGCCCGCTCCCGGGACGCCTCTGCGGGAGGAGGAGGAGGAGGAGGAGGAGGAGGAGGAGGAGGAGGAGGAGAAGGAGGAGAGGAGCAGGAGGAGGAGGAGGAGGAAAAGGAGGAGGAGGACCAGGAGGAGGAGGAAGTGCATCCCGTGCGTGCCCGCTCGAGGAAAGTGCGCCCCGGCGGGCGTCGTATCTGCCCCGGCCCCCCCCCCCCTCCCCCTGCGGGGAAGGGATCAAAGGGAAGGGGCTTCCCTTCGACTCCACTACGACGTCGTTTAATTTCGCTTTGGATAGCGCGCTTGAGGAGGAGAGCCCTGGGAGGGGGAGAACGGAGACGACGGAGACGACGAGTCGAACGGAGAAGCCCCTCACACACGCCGACAGGGTCGGCGGATTTTTTATTTTTCGTCGAAGATTCCCCTGTAGGGGGACGCGCCCGACTTAAGCCTGGGCAGTACCGATCGGGGTCACCCAAATATTACGAATATTGTGTGCGCCGCCCCCAGAAAGGGGCGACGCGCGCCCCGAGCCATTCTGTGATCATACCTTCGTGGCGGGCGCTTTCTGGCCATACCGCTCGGGAAGCGATATGCCACAAGATCTTGCACCAGATGTTTGGGTCGGACGTGCGTCTCCAACAGAGGCACACCTTACTAGCGTGTCCTTGTGCGTCCCTCCGGGGACCCAGCATCAGGCAGCACTCGCCATCCGACGGAGGCAGCCATGCCCGCAGGGTGCGCCTCTTGCGCCAGGTGCGACTCGACCGCTCCGGGCGTGCTTGCGAAGTGCACGCCAAGTTTGCGCCGTGTTCCCCAGGTGCACTGCGTCTGGCCGGCGAGCCAAAGCCGAGATGGATGTTCAGAGGAAGGCGGGTTGAGACAAATCGAAGGAGAAACCCCTGCATTAAGATAAACGTTTGTTGCTCCGCGCAGATTTCTTGGATCTGCGCGGAGCGTCGAACGTCTATGTTAATGCCATGTTTTCTTTATCTAGCGATGGTAGGTTGCCTTCGGGGGGCCCCCTCGTCACCACGGCTGGACGCAGCTCGGAAAACAACGTTCTGGACCCAGGAGGGGGGACAGACGTTGAGCCGTTGTTCGCTCAAATTGCCCTGCTCCGAGATATGGGATTGCCAGTCTGAGGGAAGCATGAATGCACTATGAGAGCGGTTCTGGCGCGTGGATCATGCAGGGCCAGCTTGTGCGAACAAACTGCCGCACACGTCTCATTCGTGTGATCTGTCGTCCCTGCGTCGCGAGACGGAGCTGGAAGGGCGTGGCCGTTTGTGCAGCCTGAGCAAGCTGTAGCAACCGAATTCAGTATGAAAAGTCTGATATGGCTAGCCTCCCCTGGAGAATCAACCTTCCGCACACGCCGACAATGTTGACGGTGTTTGTTTGTTTGTTTGTTTGTTTGTTTGTGTGTGTGTGTGGCAATCGTTTGGATTCTCACATGTATGCATTGGTGTGTATTCTGGGAGTACGTCGAACTGTCGTGTTGCACCGAGTACCAACACGCGAGTGTTGTGTCCCTGAACAACTGAGAATAGGAGGTCACACGTCCTTCCTCAAATCTATAATAGAGATTCCACGTTCATGTGATGTCTGACCGAGGTGAGTAATGCATGAGCGACACGCGTGTATAAGTGCATTGCTTACTCGATGCAAGCGCCAGTTGCGAGTCACGTGGCCGTACCGCGAATTGAATACGCAGCATCCCACAGGCTCCAGAGGTGGGCATCACGTGCGGGCTGATACCATGTACCATCGTGCTTGCTTGTTACTATCGACGATAGTTCGGTCCAGGATGGGTGATGATGGCCGATCCATTATGTTGACGCTACCACCGATGGCGTTCTTGTGTGTCATACATGTATGTTTCCTGAGAACGAACGGATGGCCCCAGAGGCGCTTGACGAGGCCGTCGCGATCAGAAAGAAGGAGTTGGCCGAGTTCAACGCGGAGGAGAAGGCCTTCGGATTGGCTTCCTGCCATATTTTCGTCTCGCACGCACGGTGCTTTCTGCTAGGGGTGGGAAAATGGTTCCGAGGCAGCTTGACCTCACCGTGAATGTTTGGCCGACGTAGACTTTTTAGCGTTCTGATACCAAGCTTGCGCGATCCCCATTCGTACGCAGGCTAGACTTGCTTACCATCTTGTGTCGCATAGGCTTTGCTGCCTTTGCTCAGTGGCTTTTCGAGAGCGTTGTAGAGGTGTGTGGCAGACTCCCAGCGCACTCTTCTCCCTTATTCCTTTTCCTGTCCTCCTCCCTCTCCATCCAAATAATTTCCAGTTGTCTAAAACATGTAAACACATGTTTTAAACATGTAAACAACATGTTTAGAACAATTTTAAACACATTTTAGATTCAATGATCGGACTGTTAGGGTGTCCATTGTCGAGGCATCCGCAAGACTGCCCCCCCAGGCACGCCGCCAATCCCCCCCCCTCGACGACGAAAACGTCGCTCACCCCCTCCTCGACGCCCGAGAAGTGGACAGCGCCGCCTCTGCCCGAGCCTCGAGCGCCGGGGCCGGGAGCCTCCACCGCCTCCACCACCTCCGCCTCCGCCTCCTCCTCCGCCTCCGCCTCCGCCTCCGCCTCCGCCTCCGCCTCCTCCGCCTCCTCCTCCTCCTCCGCCTCCTCCTCCTCCTCCTCTCCACCTCGACGACGAAGACGCCCCTCACCACGACGATAGCGTCCCCCCTTGACGACGGATATGTCACCCCTCGTCCTCCCTCCCCCCTCGACGACGAAAACGTCCCTCACCCCCTCTGCTTGGGGCTGTGTTCCTCACGCCCCCGGATGGCGCCCCGCCGCGCAGGAGATGTTGGAGGCCATCCAGGCGCTCCGCGCGGCCGTGACCGTGCTGTCGAAGCACCACGGCGGCGCCGCCTTCCTGCAGGCCTCGGCCCGCGAGTGTGCGCGGCGGCGACTGCGGAGGCGGAGGCGGAGGCGGAGGGAGGAGGAGGAGGAGCAGGAGCAGGAGGAGGAGGAGGAGGAGGAGGAGGAGGAGGAGGGAGAGGAGAGGGGAGGAAGAGAGGGTTGGAGGAGGAGGCAGCGGCGGAGGCGGAGGCGGAGGCGGAGGAGGAGGCGGAGGCGAGCGGAGAGGAGGAGGAGACGAGAAGGAGGAGGAGGAGGAGGGAGGAGGAGGGGGAGAGAGGAGGTGAGGTGGAGGAGGCAGCGGCGGAGGCGGAGGTGGAGGCGGAGGCGGCGGAGGAGGAGGAGGAGGAGGAGAAGGAGGAGGAGGAGGAGGAAGAGGAGGAGGAGGAGGAGGGAGGAGGGAGGGGGGGGAGGAGGCGGCGCGGAGGCGGCGGCGGCGGGGGAGGAGGATGAGGAGCGGAGGGTAGGAGGAGGAGGGAGGCCCCCGAAAACTCACAACAACAACGGCTCCCGCCTGATACTACCTCACAATCAATGTCCAAATCGCGCTCTCGCGCGGGACTTCCTCTAAAACGTTCGGATTCGCTCTTTTTTTTCGTATTTTTTTTTTTTTTTTTTTTGTTTTTATTTTTTTTTTTTTTTTTTTTTGTCTTTATAGATTTTTTTTTTTTTTCTTGTTTTTTTCTTTTTTTTATTCTTTTTTTTTTTTTTTTTTTTTTTTTCTTTTTTATTATTTTCTCTTTTTTTTTTTCGCGTGGGACTTCTTTTTTTTTTTTTTTTCTTTTTTTTTTTTTTTTTTTTTTTTTTTTTTTTTTTTTTTTTTTTTTTTTCTCGCAATTTATTCAGACGCCGCGCCTTTGACATTCAGGAGTCACGCTCTCGCTGTGGATTTTCTCAGGATTGATTTGGGAATCGAGCTGTCGTTCGAGCCTTCCTTGCGATGATTCATGCAGCACGCACACTTCAGCAATCCGCCTGCTCGACCTGGCCGCCTGGGGCCTCCTTCCCGACCCGCTTTGTAGGGTCTACCCGCCCGATCTGCCCGTCTGGTTCTGCCACGTGTTTTCTGCTCATAGCCTCCCTCCTCCTAGTCTCTCTCGTGCTCCATCCTCTTCCCTCCCCCTTGTCCCTTCCTTTCATCCGTTCATCTTCCGCCCCAGGGGCTGCACGAGATACACGTTGCAGTTGCAGGTAGGAAAAATACACCCCCCCGGAGGACCATTAACATTGTTGTTGTTGTTGTTGTTGTTGCTGTTGTTGCCGTTGTTGTTGTTGTTGTTGCTGTTGTTGTTTCTATTGTTGTTGTTGCGGCTGTTTTTTTTGTTTGTTTGTTTTGTTTTGTTTTTTTTTGTTATCGTTGTTTTTTGTTTTTGTGTTTGTGGTTGTGGTTGTGGTTGTTGTTGTTGTTGTTGTTGCTGCTGCTGCTGCTGTTGTTGTTGTTGTTGTTGTTGTTGTTGGTGTTGGTGTTGTTGTTGTTGTTGTTGTTGT